AGGAATGCCAGCCAGCCAGAGCGCACTTTAAATAATATCTTCTCCAACCCAGACTATAGTGGTTTTGCCTGAAGTGAAGGAGTACATTTTGCAATGAGAAAACATGCACACAGGTACACACAATTTTAATAGCTTTAACTAAATAAGTCCTATTATAGTTGTTCTCTGGAGTAAAATGTACTTAAATATCCTAAACAAATGCTAAAGAGATCCTACTAGTATCCTCTGGGAGTTATGACAGAAGCAAGCTTTGGAATAATATACTTTTCTGAATAAATTCTAGACTGGAATTTAAATTCAGGAGATTTTTCATAAGCCTCAGCAAAAAAATAAAATAAAAAGAAAGATGGATTGAATGTCAAAATTCTTTTCTACAAAGTGATTTTTGATTCTTGAGACCAAGATATTGTCCTGATCCTATTCTCCTAAGGAGAAAATTTATTTGATGTCATTGATTATTCAGAGTTAGTAGCCCTCAAAACACTTACTTTAATCTTAGAAAAATAGAAATTTTCTCCAAAAATGTCATTATCTGGTGAGACTATCATCATCTAGTAAAATATTTATTAGTACTAAAAGGCAAATATTTCAGATTTCTCTGCTCTATGAAATTAGGAAGGTGGGAACCATGAATAATTATATTAATGGCTGCAGTACTAACATACCAGGCAGAAGGAGAATGCTATCAAATACAGGATCATTATGGCAAAGTTAAAATCTGCAGTTATTCTGTGGGCAGTCTGCCTCAGGAAGAGCTTCCTGGTGTCCTTCCCCAGGGTTTCCTGCAGGTGCAAAGTCAAGTAGGGTAGATAGGGGTGGAAGGCAATCTAGGAACCAGAAAGGATGCTTTAGGGGAATCACCATAGGTTTCTCCAGGTAGCATAATTAAATTAACCACAAATGTAAGCTTGTCAAGCCCTAAAACCAGCAGCATCTCCTCCTAAACTAAGGAAGAAGGGAGCCAGAGCCAGGAAAGGATGAAATGAGTTGCCTGGAATTAAACTGCCATGGCTCATTTTTAGTTGTAAAACAAGTAGCTTGAAAAGATACTGAAGAAAGAACATGAACACAGATGGTGAAGAGACCGCCATTTGTAGCATAGAAGCAAAGGGGGAAAAAAATCACTTTCACGTTTTAAGTCTATAAAAATACTTTGTGTTCTGTCCCACACACAGGACACGTAACAGTCAATTCACATGCAAAGGGAAGCTTTTTGTTCACGTCCAGAACCAGGCCTGTGTATACTAATACTGGTGAATAGAACAAAATGAATATTCTAGAAATGTTTCATTTATGATCACAAAGACTAAGCCAATCTTCCCAAATCATCCAACAGATGTTTCCAAGGGCTGAAAATGATCATCTGAAAGACAGTATTTCCCTAGATCAATAGCAGTTCTCATAAAGGTTTCACATATGGATGTTTGCACAAAACTATGTAAATTACAAATGTAAACTTAACCACTGGTTTCGAACAGAAATCTAAATATAGCATAATATCACCCAATTTACCCACATCAACACCATTTCTTGCTTTTGGACAGACAATTTCTGCCAACTAGGGAAGCTTAAGGACAGCTAACATCAGAACAGAATGCCTCTCCCCACAATCCCTACTATTTCCAAAGCAGGAAAATGGGGCTGAAATTCCAAATCAGTGACATCTAAATATTCATGATCCCCAAATACTCGTGTTGTACCACAGTATAACCAATCTGGATATATAAAATTCTAAGATCAGTAATAAAATAAAGAATAAATATAATGAGCAACAAAACTAAAGTAGATTCGTGCACCAGAAAACTTTCCCACTTAGTGGAATTTTCCACCTGGGTCTTTGATATTCTATTAGCTCCATTCAAGAGTAAAGCTAGCAGTCTAAAAATGAGCAATCAAACTGAATAAAGCACACAGTATAATATGCAGAGATTAAGACTCTTTAAGGATTACAAAAATGTAGCCAGGGCACAGGATAAAAGCAATATTTAAAACTGGGTACATGCAGTTCTCAGGTGATTCAGTGATTCCTGCATCCTCAGGCACAGGGGTACCCCGATCTTTTCCTCCCATTTTATAGTGATATCAACAAAGAATAAGTAATTACTTTCACCCTTATAAACCAGAGGGAAAAAAAGAAGCTTTTTAAAATTTATAGCACCATATGATTAGACTTTCCTCATGTCTATTACACAGGGCTTTCATCTAAGCATGAAATGATTTTCAAGTAATCAATCACTTTAAAAAGAGGAACCCTTAAAACACATTAATGTCTATGTGATGGTATTTTAGAGACAAATTCATTCATAAAGGAGAATAAAGGATCAAGCTGAACATCTCAAAAAGTTGAGCACCACAAATTGCTGATATAATGTGTGTGTGTGTGTGTGTGTGTGTGTGTGAGAGAGAGAGAGAGAGAGAGAGAGAGAGAGAGAGAGAGAGAGAGAGAGAGGGGGGGGGGGGGGGGGGGAGAGAGAGAGAGAGAGAGAGAGAGAGAGAGAGAGA